GGGGGGTTGTATTCGTATTCATCCGCAGCGGACTGAACTCGACACTCCCACATTTATTGACGCGTCTCACCATTACAGCCTTTAAATATTAATACAGATCAACCAGCACGAGCTGAAAGTTAGTTTCTCGGCGGCGGAACCCGGAGCTGGAGTTCGGGAATATCACATTTCAGCTCGAGAGAAATATTCGGGCTGGAACTGATGCGGGAGATTTTTGACTCTTACTGTAACTAAAGACGCTTCATACACGCCACAGATCCGACAGAAAGGCAGCGAAATGGGGTAAGTACTCAACCGAGTCCCTTCTTATCCTCGCCTGTTCATCTGCTGTCATTTCGTCGAAAAAAACTCGTGCAGATTTATTTCTGGATGAGAAATGACAGATCAAAGGTTGAAGGTTACATTTGTTGCGCGAGAGGCAGAATCGAATCCGATCAAGTTGACAGAAAACGCTTGTGAATTCGGCGCACGTCAATCGTTTGAATTATCTTTGAAAAGTGAATTAATTCGCCTTCTTGTCGCCTTAATTGACGCGCTTCGCATACAGAATCTGTGCTCGTGGCTTTACTTCATTTGCGGCATTGCGCGACGATCCTTCAGGCGTAAGAAGTTGGGTTGTGTGCGGATTGTGGGTTTAGGGTTTGAACAGCAGGTGATTTTTGGCTTGTGTTTGCGCGCGCTCTCAGAGAAACCTTCCCATGATCTGAGCGAAACATCTCTCGAGCTTTAGCAACCGCGTATCGAGACCAATATAATGAAAAGAGTGTGGGCTGATGACAGCTGAGGCGGCACCGGTGCTGTCGCGAGATTGAGAGAGAGTGTGTGTGTGTGTGTACGGAGAGAATACATGGCAGCAGTGTGAAACCAGTCTGGATCTGCTGCTGGTTTCTTAAGAAGCTGTTGGACCAGTTTGTGCGGTCAGCTGAGTTTCTCTCACACGAGATCAAAACTGAAGTCTAATTATTGAATCATGAAGTGTGTGGCACTACAGTCTGTGTTTTCAACCACAATATCACAGTCTAAATATATACAAGATCAGATCACATCAGACACTTTAAATCTGGATTTGTAAAGGTTCGCTCATTGTTCTAGGTTTTCCACACTGTGGGTGTTTAACAATGTGATGTTGATCGATTACGGCTCAGTTTTCTGCTGGAGGCTCTTTCAGTGACGAGAGGGTTATAGATTAACCTCGTTCTCCTCGTGGAATGCTCTCTCGCTGCTGTTTGGAGAGGTAGACAGTGATAAAGTGTTAGGATTAAACCCTAAACTGCTGTAGATGAGGAGTAGCTGGACGGGTTGAATGAGGTGTTGGACTGGAGTCTATTTAAACCTGTGTCCAAGAGAGGCCCGTCACAGCCGCTCAGCTCCAGTTACATGAATGGAACAAGTTTATTGATGCTGATCTGACACACTGTCAAGCTGCTGACTGTGTGTGTGTGTGTGTGTGTGTGTGTGTGTGTGTGTGTGTGTGTGTGAGAGCGAGAGTGAGTGTGTGTGTGTGTTCAGGACACTGTAGACCCCACATATATAGTACTACTTAACGGCTGGTAAATGACGCTGGCTATCCGGTGGGGATTGAAGGCAGATGGTGTTGGTCTCAACCATCTGCTGCTGTCCTGGAGCCAAAGCCAATGACTTACAGCAGCAGCGCGGATCATGAACTCGCAGTAGTGCTGATCATCCTGCCGTCGTGGCCCTAAAGATAGTGAAAGTTATTGTTGAGAGGCTAACACTCTGAGCTAGTTATCCAAAAATGTGGTCAGACGGGTCGCCTTACTCCACAAATGTTCTGAATGCTTGTTAAAAGCACATATTGGTGGAGTAAACCCCAGCTGTGATTGGGAGAAACAAATGACACAAATTATATTTAGTTTTTAAAGGAATTAAACATTGATAAAAATAATCATTCTGTAATCAGTGGGCTGCAGTGTTGTTGGAGTAAATTACGGAACAATCGCTTTAACCGTCATCATACTGATTGACTTTGTCGAGTCTGATTGATCTGTGAAAATAACAGACAGATATTGATCTGGACTGTGTTTGTAAGGCCACCGCAGAAGTGAATTCTGTTTGCACCACTGAATCATTATTTTCCTGTTTATCGCTGCCGAAATAACAGTTTAAAGCCTGAAGGATTCTGTATACGAGTAATCCATCCTCAAAATACCCGTTAAACAGGTGATACACAAGTTGTGTGAACTAATATGAATAGCTAGCTGTTTTGAGCATTGAAATGTTCGTTGATTAGCAGCTCGAGCTGAGTTCACGTCCGCCGCTGTGTGTGATTGTGTGAGTTCATGGATCAGACGCTTGTCTGCTGGCCCTCAATATGAAGCAAACCGGTGTTGAGCGGCTGTTTGACGTCACAGCGAGTTTCTGTGCGAATGTGGTTCTGGTCGTTTGGTGAGTTCGTGTTGGAGCAGTTTGACCTGCTGAGGGCACTGCAGGAATGTGTGTCCAGTCACAGCCCCGCCCACTCCACGGTCTGCTCCAATCAGAGCATGCTGAGGTCAGAGTACAGGTGCGCGCTGTGGGCGTGTGCAGGTAGAGCTGCATTCCTGCCGTGGCTCAGCTGAGACTCGGGGAATGTTCTGAATGCTTTGGAGTGACGATGTGTGCATCACACGCGCGTCTCGTCATTGTCAGGCTATTTTTTCAGATCTGGGGTCTCATTTATAAAACTCAACGTAGATTTCATCCTAAAAGTGTACGTATGCACAAAAGCTAGATTCAGGTACGCCAGAACCTGTGCAAAAACCCATTTATAAATCCCAGCCTCCACCCCGACTCCTCCCCGAAATCACCAAATATGGAGCTTACAACGCCTAGTTTTACTATGCATCATCTGCATATCATTTCTATGCACATTCCATCCATGTGACACCATGTTTAACACTGTCAAAGGTACAAGACGTTAAGGAAATATGAGATGGGGACTATAAATACCATTTACGCCATACACATTAATTTTTATTACTAAAAATCATCCCGATTCCTTGTTATGTTTTAGAATAAATATCAAAATATCCATAATAATTTAGAATAGAGTTGATCTCATTCATTTCCACTGGCCAAATAATATTTAAATTGTTTAAAAAAATTCAAATTAAATTAAATTAATGCAGTTTTGTTGATAAGGTGAACATCTTTTAGCTATTTTTAGTGGAAAATAGGCCTATATTTATTGCAGTGTAAATACAATTATCTGACTCTGCGCGTCACTGACAAAGTATTTTAAAAAGGAAACACGCAAATCTTACTGTTTTCTTCAAGTTGTATCCTTCAAATACAGTGGTATTTTTCATAATGTTGTGGAGATGCTTCACACGACATTAACACGTGCAGCTGTGGTTGTACAGTAAGATATTATCATTAGACCTGTTCAAACCGGACCATAGACCGTTCCACTGAATCCAGCAGTGTCTGCCACAATATCGAAGTAAGTGACGTGAAAGTGAAGTGACATGTGGCCAAGTATGGTGACCCATACTCGGAATTAGTGCTCTGCATTTATCCCATCCTAAGTGCACACACACAGCAGTGAACACACACACACCGTGAACACACACCCGGAGCAGTGGGCAGCCATTTATGCTGCGGCGCCCGGGGAGCAGTTGGGGGTTCGGTGCCTTGCTCAAGGGCACCTCAGTCGTGGTATTGAAGGTGGGAGAGAGCGCTGTACATTCACTCCCCCCACCTACAATCCCTGCCGGTACGAGACTCGAACCCGCAACCTTTATATGATATTTTCGGGGCACAACAATTTTTAAGTAATCTCAGTGAGGAGTAGAATAGTTTAAATTCATCCATGAAATGAACCAAGCAGTCTCTCCACTTACAACAATGTATATGATATTTAGGAAAGTAGGAAAACAATATTCACAGTGTCTGATATTGAATGATCTAAATCATCAACATAAAACAGGATATGGTTGATGTTAAATACAGGGATGTTTGACATTTTTAGATTCAGCCAGTCTCTAACATCACTCCAGAACTGGAATGAAATGGAGGAGCAGGTAAAAAATAAGTGTTCTAGAGATTCATCAGTAAAATCACAGAAAGCACAACCCGCCTTGTCAAATTTAAATTGCTTATGAAGAAAATTGGAAACTGGATAGATCTTATGACAGATTTTGAAATGCGTTTCTTTGACTTTAGGCGGAATTGGCCATTTAACACATTTAGAGAAGGCTTTACCCAGCATATCAGAATGGTTTACAGGCACATTGTTTTTATTATAATCATGGAACAATTTAGATTTAAAAGCATCCGTAGCAACCCTATTATTGAAGTTTTTATCAACTAATTTATGATGACCAATTGATAAATTCGGCAATACTGGAGTGACATCAGAGTAAGTCAAAGTATTCTGGATTAGGTGGATCAAGGCTACAGGAATAGCTTTGCAAATGTTTTGATACTCTCTACGAGTACAGTTTATATTAGATCGTACAACAAAGCTGGTGTGATCCAGTAGAACACCTTTACAATCCATCAAGTCCATTACAAAGAGAATTCCTTTGTCAAACCATTCAGCTTTAAATACTGATTTCCTGTTTATAAGTATTGTTCTATTGTTCCACAGAGTCGAACTGTGCGGAGTAAAGTTATGTGTGAATATCATTTTCCAAAAGTGTAGTATTTGACTATGAAATTTAGACAGTGCAAGTGGAATCTTATTAATATCGAAATCACATCTCAGTAAAAAATCCATACCACCAAGCTTTCCAAAAATAGCCCTAGGTATGTGAAACCACACAGAGTTGGAACAAGCAAAAAAAGTTTTTAACCAATTAATTTTAAACGAGCCTATCAAGGCTTCAAAATCTAAGGCTTTTAATCCGCCATTGTTATACTCTTTAACTATCTGGAACCTTTTTAAATAATGCGTTTTATTTCTCCATAGAAATTGAAAAATGACTGAATTGGCCTTCCTAATATTGCTGTCAGAAATAAACAAAGAGTGACAAGGATATAATAACTTAGACACACCTTCAGCTTTAGATAGAATAACTCTTGCAAATACTGTGAGATCTCTGGTCAGCCAGTGACTCAGAGATTTTTTCATATCAACGACACGTTTCTCAATGTTAACATCCTCTATCCTACGATCATCCTTAGATATTGTTAAACCCAAATATTTCACCTCAGTCGTGTCATCACAGGGATGCAGCAGGCCACTCGGGCCGATGACAGAAACACCTGCGCGCTCAGATGATTTTTGAGGTCGTCAGCAGCTCAGAAATCACGTGACGTCTGAGTCAAATCTAAATCAGAGCAGAGTTAATGAGCTAAACTGATGCACACACACACACACACGCAGATGGATACTTCTCAAACTGCTGCGGCAAAATCTGCAGTAATTACTTAAATTAACTTTAAAATCCAAAGCCATTCAAATTGTGAGACTGTTCTTTGTTTAAATTATTTTTGAAATGTAGTGTCGTCAAATTTTCTGTTATTTACCTTGTGATTTAAAAAAAAAAAATTTTTATGTGCATTATTTACAGTTCTGGGTTTATTATTTACAAACCAGTCCGTTACTGATTATAAATTACATGACGGAAATTATAGTTTGTAACAATCTATTGGATTACACATATTAGATAATGTATTCTGAACAATGTTTGATTACTTTTAGATTACTTTTGATCTAAAATATGTTCCATTCTTTGTCAGCATCGTGATATGTAAACATTACATTATGCCAGTGTTTCTCAAACTGAGCTGCATGAACTACAGGGGGTTTGTGACTAGATGAAAAGCCTCCAAATCTATAAAAGTGGTAGAATATTAGAAAGGAAAATTTTAGAGAGGAAAAAAAAGATTTAGGACAAATCAAATTATGAATATTTGAATGCCATTGTGTGAATAATCATGTAATCTATGAAAAAGTAACTGTACTCTGATTATGAGCATTTTATAATAAAATATAGTCTAATTACAAGTACTGAATTTGTGGAATCTGATAACATAATCCAGATTACATGTGATCAGTTACTAGCCAGCACTGATTATTTAATGTATGTTTATATTACTTGTATTATCTGGCATTGTGAAGTACAGCTGGGATCTGTAATTCATTTGGACTTCATGGTAAATCATGGTAAAATACAAATATATGAAGACATTGAGCAGAATCAGCTTTATGAGTAGTTTAGATTAGTTTAGCTGAATGTGGGCTTCACTTCAGCTCAACGCGCATTCTTATCGTTTCATTTTCTTTTTTGATGTGATTTTTTGGCATTCGGTGAAAAGACCATGTTGATCAGATGTTTAGAAATAAACTGTTTGTAGAGTGAATGGTCTTTGGTCGGTTATTTTGGCTTGTCCCGTTCTCACACGTTTTGCTGTAATGACTGGTTGTGATTGGTCATCTAATGACTGTAAACTGTATGATTGTCTTAGTCTCAGTCAGGCATCGTTAGCGTTAGAGGTGATGTTGGGGGAACGAAAGCTGATCACTGATGTGTTTCATTGAAGATCTTCAGAAGCTCTGGCAGATGATGTGTGGTTTATTCTCATATGAGTGCAAAATGAGAAATAAATTAGCAAATATTGCTAATATTCTAAATATATCAAGCTGAAGTTGTTGATGATTTCACACACAGATGATAGTGATTGCAGTGTGTGGTGACCTGAGCTGATCATCGTGTTTGTGTGTGTGTGTGTGTGTGTGTGTGTGTGTGTGTGTGTCATTTTCAAGAGTCACACAGAATCGGTGAGTGTGAATCGCTGAAGAAATTAGGTCAAATACACAGAATACACAGCTACATTTTGGAGAATTATTACAGAATACAGGAGTATTTAGAGAAGCAACATGTGAAAGATTAATGACTGATACCAGATCAGCACTCTGTTATTTATTAACACACATGAATGGTGTGTGTGTGTGTGTGAGACCATTGTAACGTTGTGATGTGTTTGTTTTCAGGTGATCATCAACAGCACAATCACCCCCAATATGAACTTCACTAAAACATCGCAGAAGTTTGGCCAGTGGGCCGACAGTCGTGCAAACACAGTGTTTGGACTCGGCTTCGCCTCTGAACAACAGCTGGCCAAGGTCTGACAATACGTCACGCATGCATGCACACACACACACACACAGATCGTCACGCAAGCATGCACACACACACAGACCGTCACGCAATCATGCACACACAAACACACACAGATTGTCACGCAAGCATGCGCACACACACACACACACCACACACAGATCGTCACGCCATGCATGCGTGCACACACACACACACACACACACACAGGCCGTCACGCATGCATGCATGTGCACACACACACACACAGGCCGTCACACATGCATGCGCGCACACACACACACACACACAGGCCGTCATGCCAGCATGCACACACACACACAGATCGTCATGCAAGCATGCACACACACACACACGCCGTCACGCATGCATGCA